CTTTGTGTTTCATGATAACATTGGTTTGCCCCTCTACCCGCAATATTTGGCAAAGTGTCTGCCACTGGTATCAACTACTATAATTGTCTTTTTTCAGAAAAATGAAGTGGGAAACAGTCCAGCAATCGAGTATGAAGGTTTCAAAAGGTCTATAGACAACCTCCTAAAAAGAAATATTCCTATATCTATATTTGTATCTGATAGACATACATCCATCGCCAAGCATATGCGGGAAAAGCTCAAAAATATCACTCATTACTTTGATCTTTGGCATTTAATCAAAAGTAAGAACAACCAAACTTTATTAGGGTTCAGTAAAGCAATCAGATCATGGATTTAAATACATAAATAACATAGTCTTAACTATTTAGCAACAACTTACCTAGCCTAATTCTGCCTATACGTGTCTATATTTCACAATTTTATATTGTGCAATGATGTGCCCTACTTTATTATTTTATTCCGTCTATTAATTAATTAAACGCCAAATGATATACTCATCAAGGGGAGAGTGCCTGGCACTTAATGGTTACCTATTAACATGTCTTTTTCAATATGCCCCTTTTCATTACTTTACTGTAATGCCAGGTTGTACATACAGAAATTGCAAATGCTACTTGTATATTCCACACATTACTATACAATAAATATCACACACATCCTTTCTTTTAGAGGTGTCCAAGGTATTGAAAAAGATTGCAAAGGAAAGTGGATGTGAGGCAATTTCACAATGGATCAAGCCATGCACCAACCATTTGTTTTGGAGTGTGACAACAACATTCAGTGGGCATGGATTGGTAATGTTAGCAAAATTCAAGTCATTTTTCAGCCACGTTATAAACCATCACAGTGAACTTCCTGATCGACTTTTTACCAAGTTTGCACATGATTCAAATATCCAAGATCGGAAATGGCTTGATGAGGGTTAGTCAATATGATGTTAAAAAAAGGATAGAAGTGTCTATATTAATACTAACTTCACCGAAAGAATATTTAATTTTTCTTTCCCAAAACCTTGTCTAGTACCGGTAATGTCTATAGACATCACATTACACTTAGCAACTTATGCTTTGCCTTTTAGATTCCATTGCCTACATGAAGATGCATGCAGCTTTGACTAAGCGAAGTTTGGTAGCTGGAATAAAAAAGGCTTCTCCACTAGAGCAGACTAGTTGCCTTGAAGGCTTTCATTCGGTATTGAATCAGTTTTCACCCAAAATGCTAAGCTACTCGTACCCTGGGATGTTTGCAAGATAGAGTGAATGATTATGAAAACTGTTATTTTTTTTAATTAAGAAATAAAGCAAACTTAAAATTTTCCTGTTTTAGACATGCCCTGGCAGTAATTCATTTTAATATTAACTTGAAGAGGGATGTGAAAGAAATCAATGGTGTCAAACAAGTTAAATTGGTATGTCCTAAGTTCAAAAATGGTGAGGCCGTTGTTGGTAAGCAAAGCTTTTGCACATAAACAGAACATTGAGGCTAATTCTGTGAACCACCTTGTCAGATATTGATGACTATTCAGGATTATTGTCATTCTTAAAACTACTGTAATACCCAAATAAGAATATTTTCTGGAATCTATACCACCTCCAGCACTGTTAATAGAAATTAAGCAACAACCAGTCACCAATGTTTATGGAAATATTCTATGAGTTGTGCAACTTGCACTGCATCCACATATTCTCTGGAGAATCTACACCCTCTGCAAGATCTGACCTTGCCAAATTTCAATTTTTGTAGACTATGTTGAAGAGATATACCAGACAACCCTATGTGCTATTAGATATAATACATTGAATAAAGCAGAAAAAGGTCTGAAATTAATGACTCCTTTGCCAATGAACAGCATGCTAAATAAGCAGTCAAAGGATGAGGCAATCCAGAAACACAGTGCCAGAAAGGCCATGACAACCATTGATGTACCTCCTACTAATCCAGGTACAGTATGTATGACAATTAAAACTATCTTCAGTTTAGGAATGTTCGGTATGAGAAATTTCCGGTATCGGTATACCGAAAAAATTATACCGATATTATCGGTATACCGGTGTCCCAGGAGTTTCGCCCCTCCTACATTTTCGCCCCCCTTTAGGAAATTCGCCCCCCTTTAGAAACTTCACCTTTTCTTTAGGATTGACGTCCTCCGTTCAAAATTTCGCTCTTCCTAACAGTTGCATGGGATAATTATTACATGGCTTTAATCATTTGAAATCAGTATCAATTCAAAATTGTTAAGACAGAGCATGAAATAACAACCGATCACCGATCAATGATCGGCAAGGAATTGCTTATAATCGGCGGAAAAGCAGGGTTTCGGTTTTCAACCTGAAAAAAGCAGGGAAAGTCGCGACTGCCGATCACCATGATCGGGAACTTTCGGAACGTTATTCCAAGCCCTGCATGTAAGAATACAAATTTACAATTACATGTATCGAAAGGGCTTTACACAGTTACAGTAGATGAATACTCAATAGGACTTATGACGCTTCACAGCACACCATGCATATTTTGCATTTTCAGTGTTAATCCTTAAACTCATTGTTAAAAAGTAATCTCCGTGGTGGTTATTGTAATTATTGGTATTGTTTTGCATCCACGTTTTGTCGTTATCGAAAAATAATCTCAGAAGCGAAGGGTAGAACTTGCCAATAGGCAACCAATAGGCAATAATCCAATAATATACGTTTCAAAAAAGACAAGAAAGCTTTTAGTTTTGCAGAGTTACATTCTCAAATGTTTAAGGCATGCATTAAAAAAATCAAAGTATCATGAAATGATTTGAATAAACCACACCACATATATAATGCAATTTTCTTTGCGGAAGTGAAGAATCAAGATTACATCACTGACACGGAAAGTTGACGATTCAGCGGACAATAGTCAATACGCTTCCTATAGTTTATTGTTAGCAAGTGATTACTGTGGCGGCTATTGTCAACAATCGTATTGATAAAATTTGCAAGCGATTGTTTTTATAATATGTTATGTGAATGTAAACTGCCAAAAGAATACGACAACATGATTTAATAAAATGAGTGGTTATGCAGACTGCGCACACCACCAGCTGCTAAGAAGCCTAAATGTGTATGTAATTTTGTCTCCTTGTAATAAATAAATAAATCACACAATAAATTTTTTCAACTTGCAATCGTTTTGTTTTTAGATCAAAAATTCAAAATTTATATGGGGGGGACGAAATTCCTAAAGGGGGCGATATTCCTAGGAGATTCGCTACTTTGCTTCGCCTGGCATCTTTATATCTGAGGGGGGCGAATCTCCTGTGACACCGGTCTTCCTGAAGGAAATTGAATAATTCTAAAAGGGAAAACCATCATTTCGAAGCTGTTTCGAACGACACATACTCAATGTAAAATCTCGCTGAAGTGGAAATTCTAAATCATTGCATGCAGTAGAAAGTTCTTTGAATTGCCATTCAGTAGTAAAATAAAGCTTATGGTTTTGCCATATAGTTGGTAAATTTAACACTGTATACTGAAAAATTCTGGTATATCGGTATGGTTGAATATCCGGTATCGATATACCAATATTGATTTAATACCAATATTTACGGTATATCGGTATACCGAACAGTCCTACTTCAGACTAAAATAATCTAACATTGGACAATGCCAGTAAATGAATAAAATAGTTATATTGCTGTGACAATTTTTACTGTAAAGGTCTGTAAAGTTAGCCATTGTTCGAACCATATTCGGAATGTTCAGTATGTGTACCCCAAATTTCTTTTAACAGAAACTCATTGCATAGATACATAATAGAATATAAATAAATATTGTTTTAATTATAACTACATCAACTATATATTCTTTGTTAAGCGTTTGACTTTGATTTCATAAATAGTCTTAATCAAGTGCTCCTGCCATTTCAAATATTTAAGGATGAGTGTCAGGGTCATGCATTGCAGACTTTTATTATTGTCAGCAACAAATAACGATAAAAATTATCTTGTTTGGTTCATTTCCAAAAAAAATTATGTAAACGTTCTGAGCAGGGATTCATAAAGAATGGTTTGAATAATTGACGGATTAAAAAGACATTTCCCGATCAGTAGTCCTAGTCGGCCCATGAAATGGATACCAGCAGGAAAGGAATTTGCACCTGCAATGCATGACCCTGACACTCACCTTTAATTAAACATATTAAACTATTTGGCTCCTTCTATTTTGTACTTTAGTACAAGAAGCTCCAGTCAGCCAGGATCAAACAACAGGAAGAGCAAAACCACATTGTTCCATTTGTAAACAACCCATGAAAGGTCATAAAAATGTTGCTAATTGCCCAAAAACCAGAAGTAACTGCAATGGCTAAGCACTCCTATGGCCTGTATGGGCAGAACTGATTAATATACATGTGCTTACAAACATTGTATTAGCAATAATTTAAACTTTTACCATATATTAACTTTTTATATTTCGTCTTCCTCATATCCAACAAAGTTATCATCAACCAATTTAAAGGTTGTGCGGATGGCATGGTATGCACATGCAGGTAAAGGGATTCTTTTGTCACGAATGACAACATGCACCATTCTTGTAAATTGTCTATATGAGACACTACGAAGAAACCTGTGCAAGTAAAAAAGTACTAAATAAACTGAATGCATTTTATAGGTATCAAATATAGATATCAGTCAGTACCAATTGTATCAATGCCCCCCTTTTAGACCAGTTCCACCAGGATTGGGTAGATTATATATTTTTCTAGCTCGGGGTAGCAAGTGTATGGGTGAATCACACTTATATTACTTTGGCTATGTCCCAAAAGCCATATGCATTTCAGTTAGCAATGAATTTGCATTCAATCTTATAATAAAAGGTATGGTTTAGAGACTCAATCTAAGAACAATACAACTCATGTATGTTTTTGTCTTGGTCTATCCAAAAATTTGGTCCTTTCCCTGAGAATGTTTCTTATCACATGTGTATTGTGATTTTACCCAACTCACTAGAAACAATGTTTTGGCCTGGTTATTCATGTGTAACGTGAAAGATTGGTTAGTTTATGAAAGATCATTATTAGTGGATATGACAAAAATACAGCACAGTACTGTACATTTGATGACCAAAGACCAAATTCTTTCATAAGTTACCTATCCTTACAAAGATAATGAGTTCCAATTCAGTCATGTTTTCTATTAACTTTGATCTTATAATACCTTTCTTCAGCACCAGTTTTCTGATACTTCCTTTCTTGGCGTGTTTTGAACAAACCAGCTGACAAATGTAGACTCCAAGCATTAAACAAACTGCAGCAAAACCTGGGTGACCTGTAATGCATATTGGTTCTTCACCAACAGCTTGTATAACATTTTCTTTCTGTAAAGCAGCCAGGCATCCTTTAACTTCCTTGCAACACTTACATTCCTTTGCATTTTTTAAAAAACTTGTGTTACAGTTCCTACATTTACACCTAAAAAAATATATACGTACTAAATAAATCTCAATTCATTGTTCTATGCAAGTGAGCTATAAAGCAATATTTTGTCAAATAATACTTTTATAAACTAAGCTGGTAATTCTTTATACTATAGTATACTGTATTATAAAAGATACAAAAGGTGACTATTTTGCCGGCAGCTGGCACGTTTTTAGCTTAGATTTCATATTTAAAAAATATTTAAAAATATAACATTTATTAAAATTGTTTTTTTCTGTGTTGGTGTATTAAAAAATGTACTCATGTGAATATGATGCTTGTGATGTTTAATACTCTGAGTGTGTACCCACACCGGGCAAGCATGAAAAATATGCCTGACCATGGTCACTGGGAATCGAACCTACAACCTTTGGAATATTAGCCCAATGGCAATGCTCTGCCAACTGAGCTACGCGGTCAGGTCGGTTCGAGTATGTGATATTTCGGAACAGAATCTAGAATTATTAAAATTCTTACCATGAATTAATCGGTGTAGGTCCCTCGAGCCGTTTCTGATACTCTGCCATTTGCCTTTCTTCTTCTGCTTTGTTTTTTAAATATTCATTTAACCAGATCTCATCTGCGAAAGGTTCGTCCATGTAAACATTGGTAAAGTTACTAATATTGTTTGTGTCTGCCTCAGATCCGCCATGTTGGAAATCGTTTTCCACTTCTAGTTCTCCTTGTTCCTCATAATCCTCATAAATATTTCCAAAAACTTCAGTTTCAGACTCTGAATTTGAGCTAGAACCTGATTTTGACATTTTTAAGTTTACTTTTCTCTTTTGAACAGCACGTATTTCTAGTATTTACATAAGACACAACACATGTTTTAGGAATTTAGCCTGCGTAGAATGTTTTGACTTCGACACCCTTTCTTAAATGACGTCACAAGGTGGCTCGTTCCAGGCCCCTAGGTTTGTCAGACTTTTTCTGCAAATGGCTATGTTTAAAGGCGTACATCTTCCAAACGAAAAGGGTAATTGAAAAAGTGTAAAATCATATAAAAGCTAATTTTTTATGCTCTATTGAAATTCAAATAAAAAATTAAGTCGTATAGAAACTTTAAGCCAAGTATTAATTTGCCTATAGACACCAAGAATAACTCTAAGCGATTGTTCAAATGGGCCGGGCTAGCCGGGATGAATCGTGTCAGAATTTTTTCCTGACCATAAAAGATAGTTTAAAATAACTTTATATTCTTATTGGAATACCGTTATTAAAATCCGATGCATACATGATAGCTCTACATTATGATAGATATACAATTATATTAACTGATTGCAAGTTATTTTTCCAAAATACCTAGAGCAATTATAGAAACCCGACTTACTCTTCACATTTCGTTTTGTGTTTGTAGTGGAGGGCGTGTCTTTGAAGTATTCAACTCTACCAAACGAAAGTTTTGTACAGATAGTGACCAAATATAGTGGGGTCAAGACTGTTTGTTGGCAAAGTTTAACGAACGAGGCCGCGAATATTGTTTGTCGTCAATTGGGTTACACGAGAATGGCGTCTAATGTTAGTAAAGTCCCTCCATCAAATCAAGATGCAATATTTTCTGGAAGTATAGAGTGTAGCAGTGGAGAAAAAAACTTATCTCAATGTTCCTTTACCATTTTTGATGAAAGTTGTTCTGAGATTTCTTACATAAAATGTAAGTTTTACACAAATGAATACACGAACGGAAGAAAGCAGAGAAGACAAAGAACGTAACATTTATTTCTTATATTTTAGGTTTTATTTGTGATAGATCTCCGCAATTAGAAGACAAACAAAGATTTCCAGATTCGTCATTCACTGCCTCAGCTTCTTCAAAAGGTCGCAGTCCCTCTGATGCAACAATATCTAGTGGCAGTTCTTGGTGTGCTCCTGTCGCGGATAGCAAACATTATCTTCAAGTGGACTTAGGAAGACTTTATGTGATATATAATTTCGTAACATTTGGTGACACTACTAGCCCAAAATGGGTGACCACATACAATTTGAACTACACTGTTGATGGGATAAACTGGAAATCAGTTTGGAACCATGCGGTAATTGCTATTTACATTATTTTTAAGCTAAGTACTATTTAAAACAAGAGTAGGAGTGTTTTATCAGATATAAAATGCGAGGCGCAGCCGGGTGTGTTATATCTGATAAAACGCGACAACGAGTGTTTTGAATAGCTTAAAATTCGACTACAAAAGAATACTAATTATAGGATGAACAATTATATAATCATACTAATTAGGATGAACAATTATATAGAGAATACTAATGAAGATGAGTTTATCAGATATAAAGTCACTCCACGTGATATATTATGGCTGATGTGATTTGCCACAAGGTTTATGAATTATTAATGGGTATTTTAACACATTTTATAATATATTTTGTGATGGGACGAAAACGGTATAACTTACAGAATAGTAATATTTCTTTATTGCAATATTGTCTTTAGATCTCGGGAAACAAACTTGCTTACAATGATGCAGCCATACAAGATTTCCCTGAAGGCATAACAGCAAGAGCTTTACGTTTTATTCCATTGAGATATGAAGGTGAACCGTGCATGAGAATCGAGATCTGTGGTGCTAGTAAGTTATTATATTTAACTATTGATAATTCTATATAGTTTCCATAAAAGGAATAAGTGAACTATTCATATTTCGTTGCATGGAATTGTTAAGCTTCCATGTATATCACCAGCTGGTGTTATCTTTATATAATAGTAATGTGATTATCAAGTACCAATATTACCCTAGCTTATTATCGATAAAATTTCTTCCCCAGCACGACGTGTACATCCAGCTAGCTTATACAGATGCAAGTATAATATATCTTACACTTTGATTTCTTTCTTTCTAGCTCTGTTTCCAGATAAACCTACAAACCTCACGTTCACCAACATCAAGTCAAGAAGTGCTGAAATATCTTGGATAAACCCAGAGAACACAGGAGATGGAGTTCTTACAGGATTTTGGATTATAATAAAGAAAGAGAACTCCTCAATACTGAATATTATCACAAAAAAAGTGAAAAAATACAAATCAGATAATCTCTCTCCATACACTACATATGAAATATCCGTGGCTGCTGGAAATAAAAATGGTTTCATTGAAGGGAAAACAACTTCGTTCACAACATCTGAAGACGGTAAGAATTAGATAAACGTGTTTATCACATACTTGTACCTTTATCAGGTAGGAAGCAGCGGGACATAAAAACGATATCGTCCCGGATATCGTTTTTTGTCCCGCTAAATTTCGCACCTTGTCAAAACAAAGATGGCCGACTCGAGGTTCGTGTTGGTTGATGTCGACAGTTTTATCGAAGGAAACAAGAACGATAATACAAAACGAAAGACTTAAATTGTATATTATTTATATGAATTGTCTATTTATTTTCTAAAATCATATTTGTTCAGTAAATGATGAATTTTTTTGAATTCTAAAATGATCCTATTTTTTCGAAACTGTTTACTTTTGGGTGTCAAACCCTGATAAAGGTACAAGTATGTAATAAATAGGTTATCGTACTCGGAATTCGGTGATATCAGTTTTATCGCTCTCGGGACGATATCACAATTGTCCCTCGCTCGCTGCGCTCGCTCGTGACAATTATGATATCATCCCTCGAGCGATAAAACTGATATGATAACCCTTATATGATAACCAATATATATACAGTTCCTATACGAAATGATATGTTACTCTGGGTGTGAAACTTTCTGTCCTTTGTCCCAAAATCGGTAAGTGTTTTTTAGATGCGTTGATGAAGATTGATATTTTTTATATTATAACACATTATGGTAGATATTAGTATGATCTTCGTTTTCTATTATCGACTAATTTCTTCTTAAACGTTTCTGTTTGCAAATGTTATAGCCAGTGTGCTGGTTTTGTGAGACTAGTTTTGTGAGATTAGAACAACTCTCCCACACATGCAATGGTGATATTCTCGCACACCATGGTTAAGATTCAGTTGAATTGTCATGCATTATTATCAATTATGACCCCTTCCATACACCTCAAACTAATACAACTTCTTATTTTATAAGAAACAACTTACCATATTATCTCAATTGATTTTTAGGTCCAGAAGGTCCTCCATTGAATGTTACAGTGATTGCAGAAAGCTCATCATTATTATCTGTCACATGGGAACCTCCTAAAAGAGACAAAAGAAATGGTATTATCGTCAGTTATACTGTGTGTATCTCACATGAAGAAAGTAAACCTTGTTTTAGAGAATATACTACAAAGAATAAGATGATAGTCATCGACAATTTGTTTGCCTCAACCAAATATTATGTTCGTGTTCTTGCAAGTACTAAAGTTGGTCGTGGCCCTACAGTGAAAGTAAAGGGAAATTTACCAATGGAAGTAAGTGTCGCCTTTCATTTAAACGTAATGCAATTTTATAAACATGAGGCTTGTAGTTTTATCATGTTTACCCAAATCTACATATTTTCTTACAGAACAACTAGAGGTGTCCACAAATGGAACAGCATATACACTGACTTTCTCATTGGAGATTCCTTCACGAAATTTCACGTAAGTCCAAAACCTTCCCGTGAGTGAAAAACCACACAGAAATATTGCATCTCGCGATAACGACCTGCACAGGACGTTAAGGCTGTTCTGTGAATTTACCTTGCGTATTTTTTATCAGATAGAAATTTATTTGTAGACATTTTTACGTCCTGGCTTTGGAATTAAAAGATGGACAGGAAAGTCAATCTCCAGCAAGTTATCGAAACAATGAGTTAGTGACGTACACTGAGGCAGAAAAGTCAACCGACCCAAAACCTTATATCGCTGCAATAGTAACATCAAAGGATGAAAACATGTTTATACTTGGTGATGGCGGAAATACAAGTAATCCAACATCACGAAGACACAGATCAACCTCGAGTGATTACTATAATGGTCCGTTGGAACCTGGCACTAGTTACAGTATTTTTCAAAGGATTTTTATTCATAACAAGGTGTGGTATTTGTTAGTTATCACACTTTAGAAACAAATATTTCCTTGTTTAAAACCTGGTTTACACTATCAAAATTGAAAGTGGAAAGTTTAAGTTCTAAGTGTTGAAGAATTTGTTGGAAATGTTTGAGGGAACTGCCTGACTGTTAAACACGTATTTTTAACGTACTTAGACAGACAAATATATTATCAACTTGTTTACTACAGGGTGAATATTACTCCACAGATTGGAGTCCTGCTTCAAAAACGAACGAATACTCAGGTACGTCATTTAAGAAAATTCTACTGATACTTGAGCTAGATATCTGTTGTTATCCCAACGAAATATACTACTTTTACAGGAATTGAAAAGTAAATTTACGGAGACAGTACATTATTTCAAAGTTTTAAATGATTTTGTATATTTCTGTTTCCCAGGTGGCCCTCGCGTATTGACCAAGATATCCAGTGGTGACATAAAGGCAAAGGAAGGTGAACTTGTCAACCTACTGTGTTCTGCTCAAGGTGAACTTCCAATTACTTCCACCTGGGAAAAAGATCAGCAGCCACTGGAAAGTTTAGTGAAAATAAAACAGCCTCATCGCAGTTCTTTCCTTGTTGTAACAGTGCAAGACCAAACAAGTTTTGGAAAGTATATCTGTCTTATCCGAGATCGATTTAAAAGCACTACTACTCATACAATTTCGATCCAAAAACTTAAAGATACAGGTACCACTGCATTCGATTAATTCATTCTTCATACATTTTTAAAGTGCCTATATCACTCATGGGATTTTTATGGATTTGGAAAGAGCACAAAGAGTTAGTACAGGGGGTCTAGATCCTTTTTTGATATAAAACAATAATTTCCGAGATATCGGGCCTCAAACAGGGCATTTTGGAAAAAAAGGTGTGTCGCTCGAGGGACTGGGACTCAGGAATCGGTCTTTAGTCAAATACTATAAAATCTATTACGTTTTTGCTTAGCGGCTGACAAAAACGCAAATATTTCAGAGGTAAATTGTTATGTCTAGCTCAGAATCGTTCTCTAGTTCTGACGAGGGCTCCTACGGTTGCCCTGAATACGAAATTGAGGATGAAACATGCGAAACGACGTCCAATGATGGATATGAAAGTGAGCCTTCGTATGCCGTCGAGGAAGAACTACGAGACGATGAGGACGTTTTAGTATACGCTGACGAGCCTCTAGCTGACGATTCGTGGGTCGAAGAATATATGCAAAGACAAGAACAACATACGCGGGAAATAGAAGAATTAAGTCTTCGATTAAGCGGAGAAAACCCAGTGAGCTCTTGGTAAGATAAGTCAAACAATTTTCTATTTGTAAATATTGTGTGGCCGCCATATTCACATTGGATTTTTCAAAAGACCACAACTAAAGTACACTGTATACCTTTTCTAGGTGCAATTGTGGTAACTGCAATACCGAAAATTTAGTAGAGGCAAATTAAGGAATGTCGCTGTTGCACTGAATTACCAAACTGTGTCGCTGCATTGTCTATTGTAAACAAAGATGTTTCTGAGTCTTCTGATGACGACGCCACGAACACACAACAAATGTGCATCACAAATCACCCTGGATTCGACGCAATTTGTCTCAACAGATGGTCTCTGGAACTCGCTTCGGATAATTTTAAAACGCGTACTGGACAGAAATATCGACAAGTTGATTCAAAGGATAGGTCAGTTTCCACTTATATATTAAAATATAAAACATGATATATAATTTAGATTGTAATCTGAGATCATTTTTATCTCTATTCCTTACTGCAACCTTTGTACTATAAAAAGTAAATATATAACCATATGGCTCTGTGTTTTTAGGTTTCTTCGTGTGGTGGCATACAGACAATTCACACGACTTGTTCATGGCCGTTTAAAAGACAAGCGAATACCATTGCCAGCTTGTGCTTACCATGCTATCCGCACATCCTTCAATGAAAAGGAAGACGACTTCAAAGGATATGAAGATCTGGAGGAACTGGACTAAACTTACTGTAAATATATAGCACTTTATAGCACATAGTAACATACTTTGATTTATTTTTTACTAAAACTGAAAAACACTCGGATAATAATCTATTTTATATAAACAATATAGGGAAAGTAAGGTATCATATTGCTGATAATGCTAAATAATTTCAATAAAAACTACCGAAACAACCGAAATATTTCAATATTTACAAGTATAAGCTATCACTCCATGTTTACATGGTCACCATTTTTATTTTTTCAGCATAATCAGCAATATGATACCTTACTTCCCCCCACCCCCCTGCATGCATAAACTAAAAGCTGGAATTGCCTATTGCACACTGCACTTATTTATTTTGGTTCTTGGGGCAATCTTTAAACTTTTTGTGGCCTTTCATTGGTCTCTTGCATGCTTTGCATTTTGGCTTGCTTCTTGTACTGTCACCAGGATTTGAAACCACAACAGCAGGCACTAAAATGTGTGAAAAACAATAATAATGACGAATTAATGTATGTTTACATGTTGAGGAATGATGGCGCCAGCAGTAATTTCATGCAGTAATACAAATCATACATGTATGATAAATCGCAGCATGTAAATATACCGTTAATTAACTTAGCATTAAATATAAGGCTACTAGAGCAAGTAAACCAACCTACCAGGATTTGTTGGTGGCACATCAACAATGGGCATGCTTTCCCTTCTTTTCTTCTTCTTGATGGCCTCGGTACGTGGCTGCTGGTCAAGCATTTTGTTCATTGGGGGTGGTGTTAAATCTTTTAATTCTTTAATTGCCTTCTTTAATTTTTTGTTCAAGATTGCATCAATCATTGTCTCATATATTTCATCGACATAATCTTCAAGAAAGGCAATAATATAACAATGTAATTATTATAGGAGTGCCAAATAGATGGTCAATAAGCTATGTGCACCTCTGACTTGTACAAATATAGATCTTTCTACTCAGTAAAAAGTGTTGGACAGTTGGAGTGTGAAGAGAATGTGATATACATACCAAAATTTTGCTGCACCTTTACATTCCTAACCACAGCCTCTCCATTCTTGAATTTTGGGTACACAACATGAAGTTGTTCAACGCCATTCTTCATTCTGTTGCTCCGATTTAAATTTTTGTTAAAATGAATAACAGCAAGTGCATGCCTAAATATTTCAAAGCAAATTGCCTTGTTAAATATATAAAACATGCAAAATCACTGCCATAATGGGTCATTCCAGAAAACATCCATACCACCCCCACAGAGGAAATTGGAAGTTAACCCCCCTACCCCCTTCGGATGTCCTAATACATTTACTACTATCAGAAACAATTTTTTCTTCCCTCCGGGGGTGGGGGTGGGGGGTGGGGTGGATCTTTTCTGGAATAACCCAATGTTTAATGTATCCATACCTGCAAAACATTCCTCGATAGCTGTAGCCAATCATTTTTGGCGAAAATTGGTTAAGCACTGAATGGAATCCCTCTAGAGCACTTGTCTGACCAAAAGGAGATGCCTTCTTTATACCATTCATCAACTTGGTATTTGTAAGGGCAGCCAGCATTTTCTCATATGCAATGGAGTCTATAATGGAGATTACAAGAACATTTTTATTATACAATTGAAACTATAATTGTGCCTGCAAGTTAGGAACATATGCTATTATTCATCTATATAGATCCCAGAGGGCCTATATAGAACAGTTACCATACTGTATCAGTGTATCACAGATATACAGTACATTGTAGCTACTCACCTTCATCTAGCCACTTGCGTGGTTGAATCTCATCTCCATGTGCACACTTGTCAAATACAGGGTTTTTGAGATTTTTATGCTTGTTAACAACATGGCTGAAGAATGATGTGAACTTAGCCCAAATAACATCGCCATTTCCATCTTGTGTTGTCATCGCACTCCAAAATAAGTGGTTTGCACATGGTTTAATCCACTCATTCACAATCTCATTTCCACTCACTTTTCCAATCTTTGTCAACACTTTGGTGATTTCTAAAACACAAGAATATACAAATCAAAATACAGGTTGTAATTCAGTGACATATTTCCAAAGCATATTTCTAGTAGATAAATTTGATGGCCTTTCTGAAACATTTCACTCGAATTCACATAATACCCCCCCAATCCTCCTGACAGTTTAAAATGAAATTACCTAAGCCGTGTTTACACCATGAGCCTAAACCTGGCCTGGGCCAATCTTTGGATGTGATTTTTGTAGTATAAACAGACTTTGGCCAGGAAATCTGGACTACCTGTTTTGATGGGCCCAGAATTCTTGCCCTAGGCCAGGCAGAAGTACGTTTACACTACAAAAATCACGTCCAAAGGTAGGCCCAGGCCAGGTTTATGCTCGTAGTGTAAACACGGCTCTAGTATGCTTGCAATTATAGAGTAGTAAAAAACTCATTTATTATTTTAACAACATACTCTTCTTTAGATGCCAAACCTCAAAATAATGTTTGATGCTTGCCAGCTTTTCCCTCATGTGTTTAGCAATTCCTGAATGTCTGTCAGAAATGAAAGTTTTCAGGAGTAAGCCAGTGCCCAGAAGATATTCCATAGCCTGTACAAACCCATGGTACTCCATTGCAGTGCTGCTACCAACTTCATTTCTCTATAAATAAAAAATTGAATTGTGTAAAGGTATATTCTTGATGGAGATCAGAACATGTTTTTGCCTTAATCCATTCGGATGATTGCAAATTTCCCCTGAAGACAGTGGTCTTAGTCTCCTACAATTTGTACTTTTTAACATACCTGCACCAATGTAAAGTGAATGATAAATGGCACTGTACAACAAAATACTGTGTAGGCACAGTACTTGGCACTGTGACCCATGCTGTCATGCCTTCCATCACCAGCTATCATCAGATCACCTTGGCTTTTCAATGTTGAAATCAATCCCTCTTGATACTTTTTCCAATGGAGGAAGATCCCAGGAAATAATTTTTCCTACAAATATGATATACAAGTACTATAAAACACTGCAAAACTCTCTTGGAACCGTGTACCTAACTATCCATGTAAGTAAACCCATCAACTTGCAGTAATTTACCACTGACAAGTAAAATCATCTGCAGTTAGACAGGGTAAAATAAAAGGCATATTGTCAGCTAAATATTTATTGCTACAGTACACTCACACGTTGATGCTTGAAGAAGGTTGAAAGTGAGATGCATTTCAATCCCATATGCTGGAATACTCTCAGGACTTTGGTGGCTGATGTACCAGCAACAAGTATACCAAATGAAAGCAAAAAATTGCCAGCTGGAATCATTGTCCCTGTCATATATGGTTGACTGAACCACTTGGTTGTCTTGCCACACTTCGGGTTGGCACATATGGAGGTCACTTCGGCCATCGTACCATTTTCTTGGACTTCGACAAGAGGGTTGTCACATTTGCAGGCATGGCAAAATTTGAAGAGAGCGAGTAACTGTGTAAAGAACACAATGAACTTTGGCTCTCTTCTCAAATTGGAATCATTCAAAAAGATTCTAAAAAAGTAATTTGTTTCAATTATTTCAGTGACTCCTTATAGCTTATGTTGTGTCAACTACTCTTGCAGAATATATAGTCTGTTATAAAGTTGTGTATCCACATACTGATATTTCTACTCATCAATATGGTACATAGTCTTTCATGTCCAGTCATTTTTGTGGAATGTTTCATATGCATTATGTTTACATTTATTATCAGGGTTGTCCACTCACCTTTTATGTTGCGGATTTGTCTCATCATCTGTCTCAGTCTCTGTTGATTCTTCTGGTGTTTCTTCATCATAGCAATCCTCTTCATGGAAATCATCTGATGGAGGTATTCCAATGTCTGAGCTGCACTGTTCATCATCACTTACGATTGTTGTGAGATCACATCTTGACGCTGTACTGGGATGAGTTTCTTCTCCTGTGTTTTTTCACGATCATAAAAAGTTTGTTACTATGGTTAATTATTGGTGCTGGATCACTACATGATTTATGATCTCTACAGTATGTGCAATCTTATACCCAGAGGCTACAGTGTAGGTTGATCCTATTGCTCTGGGTATGAAATTGCAGTAATGTAAGGCCAAACGAAATCAGTACATATGACTTACCTGAATTTTTTGCAATTTGCATTCTGCAAACTTCAAGCTTGTTTTTTGCAGACAGCCAATCACTCTTGAGCCTCTTATTTTTTAGCAACAAAGCTTTGCAATTGCTGCATTCCCCATGCTATAAAAGACAAAAATACATTCTTGAATTAGCCCTTTTGTATGTTTACAACACAAGAAACTGTCATTAGTATATGGGTTTGGATGACCACTGAAATTTGCCTTGAAATAAAGTCTCACGTTATTGCATGCAATATGATACAAGTCTGTTCCAAAGTCCAAAACACTCGCCTCTTTTATTTTTTTCGAGGTTGAAGGTCCGGGTTCCTCACCAGTTGAAAGTCCTTCCACAAATGTTATCTATAAATGTAGATATTATTTAGTTGTAAATACACCAAGAGAATTATACGTTTCAAAATACAAAATACTCACGTTTGTTGACATCGAAGACTGAGGTTCTTCAACAGTTGGGGGTCCTTCCGCAAATGCTATCTATAAAATCGCAAGATTTTATATCTTAGATTTAAATACAAAATATCAAAAGTAATAAAATATATAAATATAAAACAAAGCCAGGGATGGAAACGCACACGGTTTGAATACCTAGATTCAAACAAACACGAGATATAAATACACACCTTCCCTCTGTGTTGTATGCGCATACTTCGCTCACTATCCAAAGACGTCGCTTTAGGCAGCAGAGAAGGCACAGCAGTAACTCCAACTTCATCTCGCTTAAGCTTCGGGATCTTGTACTTCTCTACAGTGCTCGAACCGTACTCAAAACATTCTTGCGCGAAGTGTTCAGAGCACACAACTGAACTAACACTTGGCAGCCATTTGTCTCTTTTCCGCCGAATGAAGTCCTCCCATTTCTTTCGTCTGCTTC